TGACCGCGGTTCGCGTCCTGGACCCAGTGGCTTAAAACTCGCGCTGGGCGCGTGTGCGTGCGTGCCCAAGATCCCGAGAGGAGAATGGAGGAGAAGGGATTACGGCGTGACCATCCCCTCTGGGGGGTGATTTATCGCTTTCTAGCTCTATGTCTCTCTCTGTCTCTCTGGCGAGCGCATGCGCCCTATAGCGAAAACCTCTCCAAAAAAAAAAATTTTTTTCTATAGGGCAAATGCACTCACCAGAGAGAGAAGGGGGCAGGGAGCGCAGGTAGTAGTGAGAAAGTAAGCCACTAGGTCTGGAACTTTAACCGTGGTCGGCCATGTGGGAATCCAGTGCCTTAACCACCATACCACCTGTTGGCCCTGCCCCCCCCTTTTTTGTTTTTAAAGAATGATGTTATTTATTTTTTTTATTACTTATTTTAATTTGCCATAGTGTACATACACTCACTAGAGAGAGATGGAGAAAAGGAAAATGAGAAAGTCCACTGCCAGGTTCAGGACTTGAACCATGATCCACCAAGTAGGAGTTCAGTTCCTCAACCACCCTGCCACCTGCTGGTCCTGGCCCCTCCGTTTAAATTATAATGTATCTTCATTGTCTTTTCCTTACTGACCAATGTGAAGATATAGGGAAGCACACACAGAACCACCTACAAGATGAAGAGGCGACATAGCATTGTGCTAAGGGCAGGCTCTGGAGGCAGACGACCTGGCTTTAAACCCTGCTGGCTGTGGGATCTGAAGGACCTCACCCTCTGGGTCAAACAGTTTCCTCATCTCTTAAATGGGAATAATAAGAACGCTGACCATGGGAACCAGCAGTTAGCATAATGGCGATGTCGCTGGACTCCCACATAGTCGACCGCAGTTCGCTTCCCGGACCCGGTGGCTTAAAACTCAACGCCAGGCGCATGTACGTGCGTGCCCAAGATCCCAAGAGGAGAATGGAGGAGAAGGGATTGCGGCGTGACCATCCCCCCTGGGGGGTGATTTCTCGCTTTCTGTCTCTCTTTCTCTCTCTGTCTGTCTGGTGAGCGCACACGCCCTATAGCGAAAACCTCTCAAAAAAAAAAAAAAAAGAAACAAAGAAAGAATGCTGACCTCAGAGTTGTACTATCAGAAAGGAGGTGGGCAGTGTCTAAATGTGAGCCATCCATGTTGCCACCACACCACTGTGAGAAGGGCCCCCCTTGATGTTTCAGAACTTTCCTTGATGGTCTATTTTTTTTTTTTGCATATGCGTAGGTATATGCAAAATATACACAGAAAATTACTAGTTTATTTACAAGTATGAGTTCATGCCATATTGGGATCTTTTGTCTTTCTTTGGTCAGCAGTAAGTCATAGATTTTTTCCTTATTTATTTATATATTTATTTATGTAGTTTTTGCTATAGGGCATGCGCGCTCACCAGAAAGAGAGGGAGAAAGAAAGTGGGAAATCACGCCCCAGGTGATTTACTTATTTTTTGTAGTTTGTTTATTTCTCTCACGAAAGGAGGATAGAGGCACAACAGGATCCCCACGCAGTGACCCACCCCCAGCCTCAGCCAACCAGATCATGGGCACGTGCGCCCTGTGTGTAGAAGGAGGCCTCTGTGAACTCAGGACCCTCCCGCGTGGGCCAGCCTCACAGGGTGTTGTGTTGCCACTGAGTTGCCATCTGCCCTTGTGCTTAGACAGGGTCCCCTTGGGCCTTGTTTCTCCACAGTCCACCCTAAGAAATGCACTCTCAGATGGGGCACGTGCAACTGCCTCGTTTTCTTCATTTTAGATGGAACTCGGTCCAGGCTTTCGCCTCCCCTTCGTTGCTGGACTCTGTCTCCACTTCCACTGGGCAGGTGTTTTTTTTTAAATGTTAAAGTATTGTCTACCATATGGTTAAAAATGTCAAACAGTAACAAAATGAAATTTAAAAAAAGAAAAGTCCTCATAGAAGTAGAGAGCAGAAAAATGACTTTTTTTTAAAGAGAGATTTTTGCTATAGGGCATGCGCGCTCACCAGAAAGAGAGGGAGAAAGAAAGTGGGAAATCACGCCCCAGGTGATTTACTTATTTTTTGTAGTTTGTTTATTTCTCTCACGAAAGGAGGATAGAGGCACAACAGGATCCCCACGCAGTGACCCACCCCCAGCCTCAGCCAACCAGATCATGGGCACGTGCGCCCTGTGTGTAGAAGGAGGCCTCTGTGAACTCAAGACCCTCCCGCGTGGGCCAGCCTCACAGGGTGTTGTGTTGCCACTGAGTTGCCATCTGCCCTTGTGCTTAGACAGGGTCCCCTTGGGCCTTGTTTCTCCACAGTCCACCCTAAGAAATGCACTCTCAGATGGGGCATGTGCAACTGCCTCGTTTTCTTCATTTTAGATGGAACTCGGTCCAGGCTTTCGCCTCCCCTTCGTTGCTGGACTCTGTCTCCACTTCCACTGGGCAGGGCACAGCGGAGAGGTGCTTGGCTCCCCGTGTCAGCCCCAGCCTGTGCTTAGCTCTGCCTGTCCCTCCCTGCTTCCAGGCCGACCGGGGCGGTGAGCGGGTGCTGCAGCAGCGCTGGACATCCTTCCTCAAGGCCCAGCTGCTGTGTTCTCGGCCTGAAGATGGCTTCCCCTTCAACGTGCTGCAGGACGTCTTCACACTGACCCCCAGCCCCCAGGACTGGCGTGACACCCTGTTCTATGGGGTCTTCACTTCCCAGTGGTAGGGCCCTAACTGGGGACAGAGGGAGAGAGGTGGCTGGACGGGGGTCCAGGAGCCACTTCGGGTCCAGCTAGCCTCGTTGTATCCCTCAGACTTCCCGGGGTAACTGGCGACATTCTCTGCAGGCACAGGGGGACCACCGAGGGCTCTGCTGTCTGCGTCTTCACCATGAAGGACGTGCAGAGGGCCTTCCATGGCCTCTACAAGGAGGTGAACCGTGAGACGCAGCAGTGGTACACCGCGACTGACCCCGTGCCATCACCCCGGCCTGGAGCGGTGGGTACTGGCGAGGCTCGGGTCCCCACATCATGCTGGCATCAAAGCTTCAAACCAATTCCTTGGCTTCTCTGAAGTTGTTTTCTCACCTTGAAGTTTGACACATAAGCCTGCTCACGTTACTGGGTTAGATGTGACTGTGAACGTCAGGGTGCCTTCAGTCCGTCTCAGACTGGGCAGGTGTGTCCACGTCAGAGCACGGGCTGCAGGCTGTCGTAAATGTCCCTTCACTCCATCCTCTCTCCCACTTAGAGGGAGTTCCTTAGTTACTTATTGTTTATTATTATTTTTAAGAGGTTTTTTTGTCTTAAGGCGCATGTGCCCACCAGAGAGAAAGAGACAGAGACAGTGAAAGGGAAAGTGAGAAATCACCCCCTAGGGAGATGGCCATAATGCAGTCCCTTCTCCTCCATTGTCCTTCCAGGATCTTAGGCACACATGCTTACATGCTTGGTGTGTTTCAAGCTACCCGGTCCAGGACTTGAACCACTGTCGGCCATATGATAGTCCAGCAACGTGACCACTATGCCATCCGCTGGTCCTAGGAGCTCCTCATTTAATATCTGGTAATGGAGGGGCCAGCAGGTGGCATGGCAATTAAGGTACTGAACTCCCACATGACTGACTGTGTTCAAATCCCAGAACTGGCAGCCTGTTTTCTCACCTTTTTTTTTTTTTTCTCTCTCTCTCTATGAGCACATGTGCCCTATAGCAAATTTTAAAAAATAAAAATAATAAATAAAATTAATAATTAAAAAATAAATCAAGTGACTGAGGGGCCAGCAGGTGGTGTGGTGGTTAAGACACCTGGATCCCACATGGCCGAGCACAATTCAAACCCAGGACCCAGTACGTGAAAATCATGCTGTGAGTATGTGCATGCCTGCCCAAAATCCTGAGAGGAGAATGGAGGAGAAGGGATTGCAGCGTGGCCATCCCTCCTGATGGGTGATTTCTCACTTTCCTTCTCTGTCCTATGAGCGCACACATCCTATGACAAAAACAAAATGAACAAAAGAATCAGATGACTGAAGGGCCAGGCCACAGGGAAATAGTCCTTTTCTCCTTTCTTTCCATTTCTCCTTCCCTACCAGCTAGTGGGCTTCCTCCAAAGCAAACGAGACAGTGAGTGCCAGTAGTTCATTTGGGCGGTGACCCAGGAAGTAGCATGAGGGATGGAGGGAGGAAAGCCAGAGAGGGTGGGTGGGTGAACCTTTCTGCAGTGGTGGCTGGAGCTCGGGCCTGCGGGCGGCCCTGAGTCATGGCGTGGAACCCGTGGCATGGTTGTCCCAGTTGAGCAAACTTCTGGGAACCACTGGTTGAGGGTCACTCTGGTGTATTAACTCCCTAACAGAACCTACCAGGTAGAGAGACTCAGGAAGCCCCGGCAGCCATGGGAACCAGCTGCACTGCCCATGGCATGTCCACACTGAGTTCAGCCAGGGCTTCCTGCGAACAGGAAGGGAGGAAGCTCAAGGAACAGACGTGTTCATGGTTCTTGAGGCCTATGTGTGTATGGGATGCAGAGTGGTGAGCAGAGAGGAGGCGCAGTGAAAAGTCCTTGAGCCCTTGGCTTCCCCCTACCCTGGGCACTACACTTGGGGCTTCAGATTAGCACATTGGTTCTGTGCAGAACCACGGTGATGGGCTGAGGCTTCTTTTTTTTTTTTTTCGGAGAGATTTTCACTGTAGGGCGCGTGCGCTCGCCAGACAG